CAGACAGACCCCAAGGATCCACCTCGAGGACAACAGCGCCACCTGCCATGGGTGCGGCGGAGAATGCGACTACGACGGTAACGCGTGCTCTCGCTTACTCTCTCTCTCTCTCTCCTCTCCTCCCCTTCTCCCTTCTTCTCCTCGGCGCTATCTTCCGCTGTTCTTGGCAACCGCCGAGGGCGTAAAAACGCGAGTGCGGCGGAAAGGTAAGGAGGGGCAGGGACACGGCTCGTCACGTATTTATGAGGGGGAGAAAGAAGGCGAACAAGCGGCGATGAATCCGAGAAGATTATCTCCCGGATCTCCGCGATTAATGCAGATCCGCCAAACCACCCATGTGCCCTACTTCTTCTCGCTAACCGCACACGTACAGTAACGTCCCATCCGCAGACACCACGTCACGACAGGCGCCGTTCCGTCTCCCCGAGAAACCGCCTCAAAAGGCGCACCCGCCGTCGTCAGCCGATGGGAAGGGAATATTCCCCACCCAATTCCTTTCGGACTAAGGAGCTGGGCACCGAGCCCGTTCATACCCCAGGGTTCAAGGTCGGGCCCCTAAGGGTCTCGACAACGCCCAGGACAAACAGAGTCGAGGATGACTATGGGTGAGCCCGTATATGGCCGAGGCCCAAGCAAGCAATTGCTTGGGATGCCCTAAGTCGTGTCCGAGACCGGCGGGGGAGGTCTCTCGAATGGGATCCCACCGTGGGGAGGCATCGAGCCCCCTGGGCAATCTAACGGCCCTAGGACCCACTAGAGAAGCCCTCTGGTACTTTTGGAGTGCGTCTCGGACCGCTAGACGACCCCTATCGAATGGGGAACGGGCCTCCACTGGACTTACCCAATAATAGCTCATCGGAGGTGTCACTGCTCCCGCCCACCGAGGGTAGCCTGCACACTCCACCCTCCTTCCGAATGAAAAGGATGCACGAGGGCCGCACAAAAAAGACAGAGAGACTCCTAATCGCCGTCTTGCTCCGGCAGAGGCTCGGGGGCTCTTCTCAGAACCAAGCCGAGGCCCAGCGACCCGAACTCGCACTCTGGGGCTCGGCAAACACGATAAACGACTAAGGAACTGGGCACCGAGCCCGTTCTGATCCCAGGGTTCAAGGCTAGGCCCCGAGGGTCTCGGCAATAGCCCAGGACAAACAGAGTCGAGGATGACTATGGGCGAGCCCAGACACGCCGAGGCCCAAGCAAGCAATTGCTTGGGATGCCCTAAGTCGTGTCCAAGATCGGCAGGGAAGTCTCTAAATGGAATCCCACCATAGGGAGGCATCGAGCCCCTGGGGCCAATCAAACGGCCCTGGGACCCACTAGAGAAGCCCTCTGGTACTTTTTGAGTGCGTCTCTGGACCGCTAGCCGACCCCTATCGAATGGGGCACGGGCCTCCACTCGGACTTACCCGATAATGACTCACCGGAGGTGTCATCGCACGCATGCCCACCGAGGGTAGCCTAGCACACTCTACCCCTCCTTCCGAACGAAAAGGATGAGCGAGGGCCGCACAAAAAAGACAGGGAAACTCCTGATCGCCCTCTTGCTCCGAGCAGAGGCTCGGGGGCTCTTCCTGCAACCAAACCGAGCCCAGCGACCCGAACTCGCACCCGGGGGCTCGACAAACGTGATAAAACCCCTCACTCAACATGAGAAAAGCCCCTAGAGGAGTAAATCCACTCCTCCGGGCCTCGGGGAGCTACACCGGCCAGGTGCGCCAAGCACTCCACCGAAAGCCTCGAGTACGAAACACCATCCCAACGGGAGCTGCTGCGAGCCAAGTCTCGTGAAAACCTCAGGGAGAGTGCTCGCACTCCCCCCGAGGCTCGGGGGCTACTGTCGGATACCATAATAAAGGGTACCCTGAGCAAGAACCAAAAAAATTGCATAGACCTTGTAAATAACGAAACCAAAATACATTCGAAGCAAGCTTGGCCTAGAACCATACCACGAGGCCTCGGGACGAGCCACCGATTCTCCGATTCGCCCGAGGCCCAGCGCCACGAGGCCTCGGACGAGCACTAAGTTACCGACTTCGCTCGAGGCCGGCTCGGCATCAACCCCATCACCGCCGCCTTGACCGATTTCCCTGACAGGATGTCACATCCAACCAACGCGTCCAACCACTCCCTGCGATGTCGGCCAGACGTCGTCAAGAAGATACGGAGGAGTGGCCGATGAGACGGAAGTCACATCGACTCCACGCAGTCCGGGATAGACACGGCAGGGGTTACCGGCATTGTGTGCTCGGCAGATCGCGCCCACGGCCGACATCCGTCGTCGCCGGTGTCTTGCCTAACCCCTACTCCAAGGATCACTGCGCGCGGAGAGTCAAGTCCAGTCCCCAGTAGCCTCGGAATCGACGAAACAAGACCAATCTGCTCCCTCCGAGCCTCGGCTATCCGCTTCCGGGCTCTCAGAGCCTCGGGACTCGCGCCCGCCGAGGCCCCACGACGGTCCAGCCTCAGACGACCGGGCCTCGGCTCTCCACATCGCCCACGAACGTGCCATACCTGCGCCGGGGTGCAGACCTCCCACGTCGCGCACAAGGCCTAGCTCCTGTAGCCTCGGAATCAGCGTACCCGCGCCATCGCATCAACCCGGCCTCGGCACTCCGCGCGGCCAAACCAAACCCACGCGACCAAAGACGTCTCCAACAGAAGAAGGCGCGCCTGCCACCACAGGAGCTCCCACGTCGCACAGGATCGGGCGTGACCGGCGCGTCGCTCCAGTGCACCGAAGACAAAACCGCTACACTGACCATACCGCCACAGTGACAAGTTGCAGGGCTCGGACATGCCGCCTCCGCCAAACAGAAAACGCCACGTAGCAAGTACATGTACCGCCCCTGTGCCTCCCTTCGGCTATAAAAGGGAGTGACCATGGCCGCTCCTAGGCGTCGGATCAGATAACACACTCACTCACCGGTGCAAACCACGCACACCACTCTGTAACACGCACGCTCCTTCACTGCAAGAGATCAACATCTCAAGCAACCCACGCCACTCCACGCAGAGACCTGGGACTAGCTCCCTCTCTCGCTCAGCTTGTAAGCCCCTACTACGAGCACCTCGATGGAAGGAATACAAGATCGCTCTCTCACACTAGACGTAGGGCACCTATTGCCTGAACCAGTATAAACCTTGTGTCTCTTTGCATCACCATCCGGGATTAGGAACACGTAATACACTTTCACTAGTTGGTTGAGGACCCCCCGGTCCAAAACACCGACACCTAGCGTCGGCACAAACACCGGCCGGTGCGGCCACAACCGCCGTGACCTCCCCCGCCGAGCTCCACGCAGCTCGCACAGGGGGAAGGACAGCCGGCCCTGCTGCTGCACTCGCCGCCGAGGGAGGAAAAGGCCATGCCGCCGCCATCCCGGCCCTCCGAGAGGCCTTGCCGGCGGCCAGCTTCGGCGGCGGCGCAGCGGGATAAGGGGTGAGGAGGGGGCGGCTAGGTTACGGGGGAGGTTGCTCAATAAACCGAGAGAAGTTGGAATTTTGCCAGACAGGCTATTATTGGCAAATGCAAGTTGTTGCAAGCTCCTGCAATTCCCTAGCCTTGATGGAATTTCACCCTTTATATAATTGAAAGACAAGATGAATATTTCTAGCTTGCAGTTCTTCTCAAAACTGAATGGAATCTCGCCTGTGAAGCTATTGTTGGTTGCATCAAAAACCTTGAGGCCATTGATCTCACTCAAGGTTTCTGGAAGACTGCCACTCAGTTGATTATCGAGTAGATACAGCTCCTCCAACTTGGTGCAGTTGCCGATTGAACTGGGCAAAACTCCAGACAACATATTTTCATGCATACTGCAGTTCCCAAATTCTAGAGGGATCAAACCAGATATGTTGTTAGCAGATAAAATGAGAATTTGCAGGTATTTCAGATACCCTATTTCAGGTCCTAACCTGAAACCTCTGATGATGATAGGTCAAGAGAAATCACTATGTTCCTTCCATTGCAACCAACACCATTCCATGCACAAGGAGTTGCATCAGAAGCACTAATATGTAGTCTCCAGTGACCATAAAATATTATTGGTGCAGATTTGAGATAATCATAGTGCTATAATGTACATCTGTTGAACGATTTTTGTCACTATAACAAGGATAATAATGATAACTTATCTAATGTGTTTCACACAATTGAAACTTATCTTGTGACAAAACTTGTCCTGACAAATATTTTCCTACAAATGCTATGCTTTTTTATGATGAAACTATTGATACAATTTGTCTTGTTAATTCTCACAAAAAGATAATTTTCTGTGACAAAGGTTTGCCACCGTAATTTACATGTGAGGATGAGTTTGCATCACAAATGAAAAGTATTTGTGTTAACAAGTTACCACTTTTTCCCATACATATTGTGGCAAACAATTAGACACAATTATAATTTAATAGTGAGAACAAGCATCGACACAAGTAATGGCGAAACTTCTGTCACTAATATGTAGTCTCCAAAGACCATAAAATTTGTCACTTTTACAATGGCAATTGTGACAATTATATTGCCATAAATTCTGTATAGTTGTGGAAACTATTATCACCACTAAAAACATTATGAGTGGCATCATTTTTTGCCACTAATGCGTATGTTTTTTGTGACAACGGATGGGCCACAAATGGCTACATTACTAGTGGCAATACAATTTGTCACTAATGAGTATGGCCATTCGTGGGGAACAAAAAATCATCACTAGAGTATCTGTGAGGCAAGTATCTGTGGCGACTAGTGGCGATTTAAAAAGTCATCACAAAGGCTGGTTTGTGGCAGAAAAAAAAACTTTTGTGATGAAAATTTTCGCCACAAAAAACCTTTGCCCTTGTGGTGCAATGCAATGGTATCCATGGTTTTTTGCAACATGCATGCCCTAGCACTAAAAAACAAAGTAACACAAGAGGGAGGCTCGACATGTCTCATTTTAAAGACATTAACCATTAGGGAAAAAACATTACAAGTACCTGATATATGCATTACCAAAACTTCTAAATTACATAATTGATCCACTAAGATTATTATCTCTGAGAATTAGCCGTTCCAGACTTTGACACTCTAAAACTAGATCATGTGGGATACTACCATTGAGACGATTGGACTCCAAATTCAAGTATCGTAATGTTTTCCTTGAACAGATGTTTGGTGGGATTGAACCATGTAATATGTTGTGTGAGAGGTCAAGTCTTTTCAGATTCACTAAGTTTCCAAATTCAGGAACAGTGCCCTCCAGCTGGTTTGCATCCAACTCTAGCCACTGCAGCAACCGACAGTTACTAATCTCAGGAGGGATCGGCCCAGACAGGGAGTTCTGTGAAAGTAAAAGATATGTGAGGTTGCTCAATAAGCCAATAGAATTTGGAATCTTGCCAGACAGACTATTATTGACAAATCCAAGTTGTTGCAAGCTCCTGCAATTCCCCAGCCATGATGGAATTTCACCCTTTATATAATTGAATGACAAGATGAATATTTCTAGCTTGCAGTTCTTCTCAAAACTGAATGGAATCTCGCCTGTGAAGCTATTGTTGGTTGCATCAAAAAACTTGAGGCCTTTGATCTCACTCAAGGTTTCTGGAAGACTGCCACTCAGTTGATTATCGAGTAGATACAGCTCCTCCAACTTGGTGCAGTTGCCGATTGAACTGGGCAAAACTCCAGACAACATATTTTCATGCACCCACAAAGCCTTGAGGCTTGTCATTTCTCCAACCGAGAAGGGGATTGAACCACTTAGCTGATTGCCATTTAGGTACACTTGCTCCAAAAACTGGTTCTTGAACAACTCCTCTGGTATTGTTCCATTGAAAGAGTTATAGTACAGTGACAGTGCTGACGATTTCTTGAGGTTGCCCATTGATGCTGGTATACTGCCAGAAAGTAAGTTTTGGGACAGATCCAATTGTTCAAGCATACTGCAGTTGCCCAATTCTGGAGGGATCAAACCAGATATGTTGTTACCAGATAAAATGAGAATTTGCAGGTATTTCAGACGCCCTATTTCAGGTCCTATAAAACCTTCAACCTCTGATGATGATAGGTCAAGAGAAATCACTCTGTTCCTTCCATTGCAACCAACACCATTCCATGCACAAGGGGTTGCATCAGAAGCGCTCCAGTTGGATCTTATGGAACTTGGTAGTACGAGGCTTTTGGACAGAGCAAGAAGAGCTAGGCCATCTGAACTCATACCCTGTGATGTTGAAACTAGCACGAAGAATAGAAAAAACCAATGCCAGAAAACCAGCTTCATCTTGTCCCTGAAAATTTGGCATAGAAGTCAGCAGAAGGTCCTTTTTTCCCCTCCTATGTACAAGTAGTTCAACGCACAATCAAATGGGGATTGCATGTATGAACAGTTGTCATCAAAAAAATTGCGCACGTTGGTAACAAAGCAACGGTCTAGAACAATTTGATTAAACTACAAATTACTTAATTTTCCCAATAAAAGATGGTACAAATCCTTTTTTGTATAACATTATCAATCTTGAAGGAAGCCCCGCCTACTGTTCTGGGACACATACTAACACCAAGTAGAATGTACTCATGTAAAACATAGTAATAATACAGTATGATAGAAGAATATACTCATAAATGGGTTTGGTTAACTAGAGGCCCCCAAACTGCTGAACACACCTACCAGTAGTTTCGATAATCATAACCGTGAGAGAAACAAAATGCAAATATGGCAAACCCTAAACCCCAATGATAAAATTAATTACTATACTCAGGACGCTGGATGGTTTCCGAAGCCACTGCAAATGAAGCAAGAAGACGGAATCTCACGTTTTCCTAAAAGGGGTCAGAAACTGAGTTTATGACGGGTACCGGAGAATTTACGACAAAGCCGTTCTTCTGTTCACATAAGCCATACTAATCAACGAGATGGGATCCAATCTCGAACACAGAAGCATTTCCCCATTTCTAAAAATAATGGGCGCCACCACATGGGCTGATGAGCACCTCGATTTCTTCTCTTAAAAAAACAAAACAAAATGGGCGCCTCGATTGCAATTGCAAGCAGAGAGATCCTCTGCACTCCTACGCCGACGGCACAACACAGGAAATCGGCACCCACGAAAGCTCATTTCAGTGGGCTACGATTGAAACAGCCATCGAACTCGCTTCGTTCCCGAACAACACTCTCGAAATTTGAGAGCCCGCGCTGCCAAGAACCCGAGAACTACCGCAGATGCGGGCAAGAAAATGCAAATGCAACAGCAGGAACGAAACGAATGAAGGAGCGGCGGTTCCTCGGGTTCAAACAAACAACAAGCAACACACACCAGGAACTACAGGCGGCAACTGCTCGATCGGGAACTGATTACAGGGGCGAAGCGAGCGAGAGCGGCGCTTACCGGAGACAGCAGCAGCTCGGTGCGCCCGTGGCCGCGGGTGAGAGGATCCTGGGGAATGGGGGCCGCCGGCAGGGGCTGCTTTAGTTTTCAGTAGTAGCACTAGAAGCATCCATGGCGGACGAGAAAGAGAGAGAGAGCACCGGCAGCGCGGTGGACTGTTTGGCGGAGGCAGGAGCGAGGCCGTTTTAGACAGCCGCGCCGCGCGCCGCGCGCCTTTTGTGGAGCGAGTGCGAGTCCAGCGGAGGGAGGGTGGTTGCGGTAATCACTAATCAGTAGTGCGGTTGGGGATCCGTTCACACAGTACACACCGGGGCGAGGAGGGTGCTGTGCCTGTCGACACGTATGGTATGGCGCGTGGCCGCGGGATCTGTTCCGGGCGGCTGCGGGTTGGGTAGGGGGGACGCGGCCACGGTCCACTTGCGTTGCGTTGCGTTCGCACACTGTGGGCTGTGGTGTGCCCTGCGCGGCGCAAGTTCACACAGGTCGACGTGGGATTTTGAATTTCGTTTCAGACTCGCGGCATTTTTAATCGGGGATTTGGGGGCGTTGGATACTTGGATGCCAAAGAAATACTCAAGCAATTTCACGAAAATTGTCTTAGTTAGTAGTGGAATTGTAAAAAATGCTCCGTCTTTGCATCCATAGGCCAGGAATTTCAGCGAACAATAACCAATGGGCTAGTAGCCTGATCCTATCTATCAAAGTCAAACCTACGTTTTAGCGATGGATGAAGCCTGCCCTTGATGTTTTTTCTAAAAGTTTATTGTTTTCTAATCTATCACGTGGATGTATTAGTTAGCCAGCAGCCCTGTTGGTAAGCTTTTTTTAATCACAAGTTGCAACGGGTCTGTACATGTCAACTCGTCTTTTATTTATTTATTATTAGATGCAGCAAGCTGCTTGCTGTTCCGGTGTGTGTATATATATATATAAACGATACAACTCTTATGTTGTATGAACCAACTGTTTTGGTTTTTTTTTAAGGATTACACGGTACATATACAGCCTGTTTCATTTTGGCTGGATTGGCTTATAAGCCATGGGCTGAAGTACTACTGGCTGGTTTGATGTGAGAGAAAAATATTGTTGGCTGGCTGATAAGTTAAGCTAGATACTGACGCTATTACATCTTGCCCGAGCAACAGTGATAGACGCTCATAACACGCTGCACACTCATCTCCTATGAACACACGTACGTTAAACCCTACCTCTATGAGCACATCCGAAGGACTGAGCCGACAGATCTCGAGATTCACGAAGTCACCACAGGCGCCTCGCTATCGACGGGGACGTCGCCTACCACTGAAAGCATATTGCCGATAAATCTTGGAATAAATCCAGGAAAATACGAGCACCCGTGCCAAGTCTAGAACCTGAACCAGGGTGGGCAGGTTCTACCATACCACAAGAAACCCAACCAACTAATCTATAATCAGTTTGCATCTTTTTTTTAAACGTGCTGGTCTCTTATAGCTAAATGCAAGCTTATCCTATACAAGTATATATATCAGATGGCATAGAGCATTTCCGAGTGTCTTTCTTAAACACAATCTCTAAATCACCATTTAGATTATTTGAATAAATTGTTTTTATATATTTTCGTCCTCAAATATCTTATGCATAGTATAGAGAGCTAGTCTCGCTCTTAATCTTTAGCCAGCGGAAAATCTGAAATAAAGTATAGTATATTTAAAAATCCAACTAATTAGAAAAGCCATCAAAAGATATTTTCTCATCAAAGTCTATTATCATTAAGTGCCAACTGACCTAAGGCACTAGGGACACAAAAGGTTGGTAAGGGCTAAAGAACATCTGTATACATACACTAGTAGAGTTTGGACCGTCGCTGCTTTTGTCGCAACTCATATAATGTTTTTATGCGCGTGGTCATAGCCATGTTCGCTTGTCTTATAAGTCGTATTTTTTTTAATCAATAAACAATATTTTTTTTTCACAACAAATCAGTTAACAGTACTTTCAGCCATGGCTTATCAGGTCATATTTGGTTCTATGGACTAAACTAAAATGTGGACTAAAATGCTTACTTTTAATCCCTAAAATATTAAACACATGGACTAAAATTTGGACTAAAGGGTTTAGTCATCTAGTCCATGAGGGGGTGACTAAACTGGACTAAAATGTTCTCGAGACACTCCTGCCCCTCGTTACTCCCCATCCCACCCGTCCCTAAGCCTATCCGCTCGTTTCCTTCCCCGCTCGCTCCTCGCCGTCAGCGCACTGCCCTCCGGAGCCACCGCCACTCGCTCCCCACGCCGCCGCTGCCCGCCACCGCCCCTGTTCCTTCCCACGCCGCCGCCACCGCCCCTTCTCGTCCCCACATCGGATCCACCGCCCCCGCTCCTCTCCACGCCGTGCCCACCGCCCCCTCGTCCCCACGCCGGAGGCTTTGCCCCCGCTCCTCCACACGTCAGCGGCACCGCCCCATCTCTTCCCCACCCCCGCATCTACCATGGATAGCCATGGGAACGCCTACCGCGACTTCTTCTCTCAGGCGGGTTCTTCATCGGTGGCTCCCAACTTCCCTGCGTTCCTGGACACCGGCGATGAAGACGACTTCGGCCCCTTCTCCCAGCAGACGGTCCCCAGCCTCTCCGCTCCCCGGACGCGGATGGAGGATCTAGATCTGAACTCCCAGGCCGAGGGCTTCCCCCACTGGGGCTCATACCAGGAGTTCCTGTAGGCGGAACAGGTTCCCGACGACCAAGGCCTACCTCCCCGTGGGCCTGGTGGCAGATCCGGCCATGGAGGAGGACGTGGGTGAAAGCTCTAGTTTGGTTTTGGTTAATTGATAAAACCCTAAGTGCTAACCTAGTTTATCAAAGTGATTATGAGATAGGTAGCACTACTCTAAGTGATGAAGCAATGGCGAAGATCATGACGATGTTGATGGCATGGTGATGATCAAATGCTTAAACTTGGAAAAGAAGAAAGAGAAAAACAAAAGGCTCAAGGCAAAGGTATAAATTGTAGAAGCCATTTTGTTTTAGTGATCGAGACACTTAGCGAGTGTGATCACATTTAGGATTGATAGCCGTACTATTAAGAGGGGTGAAATTCGTATCGAAATGCGGTTATCAAAGTGCTACTAGATGCTCTAACTCATTGCATATGCATTTAGGATCTAGTGGAGTGCTAACACCCTTGAAAATGTTTGTAAAAATATGCTAACACACATGTGCACAAGGTGATACACTTGGTGGTTGGCACATTTGAGCAAGGGATAGAAACTTCACCGGTGGAGTGTCCGCCCATAGAGTGCGGACAGTTCGACGGTGCCACCGACGCCCTAGACAGAGAAGACGAAGGTCACTGTATGTGATCGGACGCTGGTCTCGGTTGGACCGGAGCGTCCGGTCAGTGGCAGTAGAAGGCGTGTGTTTTGGTCTTCGACCGGACGCTGGCGCTAAAAGTGACCGGACGCTGGCAGGGTGCGTCCGGTCAGTGCTGACGTACGCTGACGTGAGGCGCACAGAGGAGACATTGTGTGACCGGACACTGGATGTGTCCGGTCGGGCATGACCGGACACGTCCGATCGTGAAAATTCGCGTTTGGAACCTTACTGGAAACAACCTGACGCTGAGGTCCAGCGTCCGGTCACTTTCTAACTGACGCGTCTGGTCATCACTTGACCGTTGAAATCGGGCGATCGGTGTTTGAAGCCGATGACACGTGGCGCACATCGCACGACCGGACGCTGAGGTCCAGCGTCCGGTCAATATGACCGGAGCGTCCGGTCGGCCCGTGTTCAGTGCAGAGAGGAGCCGAACGGCTCTATTTCGTGGGAGCTTCTATTTAAGCCCCATGGCCGGCTCAAGCTCACTCTCTTGGCCATTTCATTGACATAGCAACCTTGTGAGCTTAGCCAAAGCCCTC